CATGATAAAACTTCAAACATTAAAAACTTCCCTAAACAGGGCTGCCTTCTGATGTCTCCTAAAAATTGGATAGTTGTTTATTTCCTTGACATCTGATGGGAAGGTGTTCCACAGGGCAGGTGCCACTACTGAGAAGGCCCTCTGCCTGGTTCCCTGTACTAGCAGTGAGGGAAGCGCCAGAAGGCTCTTGGAGCTGGGCCTCAGTGTCTGGGCTGAATGATGGGGGTGGAGACGTTCCTTCAGGTGTACTGGGCAGAGGCCGTTTAGGGCTTTAAAGGTCAGCACCAACACTTTGAATTTTGCTTGGAAACGTACTGGGAGCCAATGTAGGTCTTTCAGGACCAGTTTTATATGGTCTTGGTGACCACTCCCAGTCACCAGTCTAGCTGGCCGCATTCTGGATTAGTTGTAGTTTCCGGGTCACCTTCAAAGGTAGCCCCACGTAGAGCGCATTGCAGTAGTCCAAGCAGGAGATAACTAGAACATGCACCACTCTAGTGAGACAATGTGAGTTCAACATGCTCGTGTTAGCTTTCATGTTTTTAAAAAGAGGGTGCTTGCCACAACAGACTCAAGCTGCTTCAGAGCAGTCACCCCAATGTTCTTGGTTGGTCAGCACCAACTTTAGCAGGGACTTGTGTTATTGGCTGCCGGCGATTGCAAACCACTAAAAAGTGAGCTGTCCTAGTAGGAGGGCGGTGTACTCATTTTCCTTTACTCTGACCCCAGTGCACTTCCACTGCTGCTGATTGAAGCAGAGTACACAGGACATTAACCGCAATCCATAGGTATCCAGTAGTTTCATGGGAAACACTCTTGTCTGATGCATTTTCCGCCACACCATTTGAAAACACAAGCTGCGGTTAGTAGAGTTCAGACAGCCATTGGACATGCACAGATGACAGTTCATTGGAGGTCAGGGGGCTGAAAGCGCAGGGAAGCAAATCAGGTAATGGGCTTCCGGCAAATGCATTCCTCACCTCTCTGGTGTGTACATCATGTGCCACAGATGGAAACCACCTGGTTGTGTTTTAAACCGCTGATGTGTCCACAGCCTAGGACTTGGGGCATGTATTACATTACCAGATGTCCCTCTTTTACAATTTTTTAAAAAATAAAAAATGAACATGTCCCTGTCCCTCATGATTGTGGAGGTGAGGACAATACCTGATGACTCTGAAAATGAGAAATAAACTTTTCAAGCACCAACACAACACAGCTCCCCATCCTGCCAAATAGTGTTATGGGTTTGGGATGGGCCTCTGCCAGTACTCATGGTAAGAGAACTGCCACTGCAAACCAGTCAAGGAGATCTACCCATGCTCATTCTATTATTAGAAAGACTAAGGTGATAGGTTATTATAGGGACCGTTAGGGACAATTTTCTCCCGAATAACAAGGAAATGGCCACAGACTGCTCTGGGAAAAGAATGCCTATTTCATAAAATGGGGCATGTCTTTATTTTCTCCCCTGCCCCCTTCACCTTTCCTTTGACTGGGGGTGATGTCATCAAGCTTATGGATGAAGAAATGCTGGTTTCAGAAAGCCAGACTGAGGAGTGTCGGAGAGTCAAATTGGTTCTGGAGCCATCTTGAGGTGCATGTACAACCCTGCTAGGAATGTTTAAAGCTGTACCTCCACCTCTTCTCAAGCTGTACGTTTATAAAGAAATACTACAAATGTCAGTAAGCCTATTGGGTTCCAAAGGAGACCAAGTTAAGTCCTGAACCCATGAGGCATATATAACAATAGGTTGAGGTGGAGTTAGATGTTGTTGTTCTGTACCACTAAATAGCATTTTCATGAGTTTTGTAGCATGCATTGTTCCATTTGCGGATCATTGTAGCATTTTGAGTTTTGGTTCGAAATAAACTGTAGCTTTTGCCTCTTTTTATAATTTTCTTCTTGGCCTGGCACTTTTGATTTCCAATTCTAGATAGCAAACTCAGCTTTTAAAAAGTAACACTGATCATCTGCGCCTCCTACTCTTATTGTTATTTTTTAAAAATGCTACTACACCTGTGACATTTTAGTTGGCCCAAAAAAAGGTCCTGCCAGAGTGGATTTTCTTAGAATTACTTGTAGTGAAGCACTGTAATGTAACTAGATAAACAAGACACACTAATATAAATAGTTAGAAGGTTTTATTCAATGTTATATCAGTGATCTGACCACAAGATGGTGCTATAACCTTTTTAATAAAAAACCCCCAAACCTCTGCAATTCAATCTCCAAAAACAAGTTATTCAAAATATTCTGACAACAGACTGTGCCTTGCTAAAAAAAACAACACACTATCAAAATAGAGCACAATTTTGTAGGTTTAAATATTACGTAGGTTTAAATATTACGAATGGGTCCTGATGCTCATAAACTACATTACCCCTCATGCAGACTGCTGCTGAACCAAATACTGTACTAAGGTGGGGAATAGCAGGATCAGGCAGGTGCCTCATTTGGGGTGACCGGTGTACAAAACCTCTTGCACTAATTGGTTTCCCACTTGCACATTTCTTACTTGAGCGGAATGCTTAATAATTGAATTTATAGGAATAAGGAGCAGCTATATTAATCTTCCTGACCAAAGCTAGAACATTTTTATTTTTAAAACTAGACCACTTAGTTGTCTAAAAGCTGAACAAGCTCTCAAACACGCATGGCCTAGTAGTTTCAGAGACAAAGGCATGAATGTCTTAAGCAAAACCAGACATTACAAAATGATGTGATTAAAACACCAGCGTTCAGCTGAGAAATATGGGTTCTAATATTCACATGACTATAGGCCATGCAAATATTGTCTGAACGCATCAGATGATTTTTGACGAGTCATTTTCAGTCTCAGTTTCATATCTACAAAGTGGAACCTTCGCCTCCTATGGTGTCACAGAGGTTCAAACTGAAGATTGTTAAGCAATTCTTGAAAATTTAGATGGCATATTTATGTTCCCCTCTGCAATTCCTTCTGGGGAAAAAAGCAGGGGAACAATGTATTTGCTCTTAGAGTAACCAAGCACATGTTGGCTGTGTGGAGACATCTCTTCACTTCAACTGCTAGAGTTTTCATCTGTGGACCTCCAGGAAACAACCTTTTCTCAAAGGCTCTTCCATTTTGGTTAGTATTTGGGAGCAGAGGCTTAAAGCAGGCGCTATTTTATGACCTTCTCCTCAGGGTGGGGTTGTATATTAAAAAAAACTTTAGCTAAGGCCTAGTATAAAACAGGAGTTTACATACAGGCCTAGTTCAGCTGAAATAATGGTTTCTTGCTACGTGAATGAGCATCAGACTTCTGTACTCCTGCCTTCCTCCTCTTTAGCCCCCAATGAGATGGGAAACTTTTGTTTTTATTTTATTTTAGATAAAAATCATAGCTCCGTGGTGTCTGACCTCTGGGAACTGTGCCTTGTTTAAAAGTATGGTTAGTAAGAACAAGCCAGGATTAAACCGCGGTTTCAGTTTCTGGCTTGTTCTTGCTAGCCACAGGGACTGTTTCTTTAACCATCTGCTTGTCATTTCTCCTCTGGCAGGCAGAATAATCTGGGATGGCTCCTATCTAACACAAATGGGACAGTGGTAAATCCAACACCAGCTTTTTAGGCACATTAGAACATGTTAAAACACAATCCAGTTTATCCCTACCTTTTCTGGATTGGAGGAAAAAAGTCCTATATAGTATAGCAAACTATAGTAATCAAGTGGTATCTTTTGTAAAATTACACGATTCTGTTCTGCAAGTACCGTATTTTTTGCTCTATAAGACTCACTTTTCCCTCCTAAAAAGTAAGGGGAAATGTGTGTGCGTCTTATGGAGTGAATGCAGGTTGCGCAGCTATCCCAGAAGCCAGAACAGCAAGAGGGATTGCTGCTTTCACTGCGCAGCGATCCCTCTTGCTGTTCTGGCTTCTGAGATTCAGATTTTTTCCCCTCTTGTTTTCCTCCTCCAAAAACTAGGTGCATCTTGTGGTCTGGTGCGTCTTATAGAGCGAAAAAATACGGTACTTTATTGCCCCCCCCCTGGAATGGATAATCTATTCTTCAGTTTCCCAGGTTAATATTCCTTTTTTAAGAAATAAGAATTTTTATTAAAGCTTTTTCATAACACAGTAAGATAAAATAAACTAAATAAAAATAAAAACACGAGAGAAAGAAAACAGAAAATGCAGAGTCCTCTCTCAAAGGTAGCTCTTAATCCTTAAAGTGTTGAACCCTCTCAAGCTCTCTTTTGAGAGCTTTTTTCTTTTCCTGGTCTCTCACCCCGGGAGGTCTTTCCCTTCCCTGCTTCTCACTCGGGGTCCTTCCGCAACCATCCACCACTAGGTTAATATCCCAAATGTGCAGCTGAGAGAGGGGTATAACTTACAAGTTCTCTTTACCACATGGCAAATTTGCTAATTAAAGCTGTATACCTACTGGCCCAATGTTTTGGTGAAAGTGGGAAGCAGTCCTAAGAAGTATAAATGAATAATAAGAGCAAAAGTGGTAACTGGGATAATTCCAAAACAAGCACGAAGATACATGTAGTAGCAAGTTTTCAACCTGTGTTGAAAGTCAACATGCATCAAATATAGCACAGGTTATTTTTTTCCAAAACAAGAAGGAACATTTATTGCTGATCGTATGGAGAATGTATGTAATTTCTCTTTCTCCTTTACATACAAGATAAAAACCACTGGCCTCTCAGATACATTCTCACCACAGTAACTGATATCAGAAACAACTTCCATTTAACTGAACAGAGATTAACCTTCATGAGAATAAACATCACTGAGAGGTAAAGAGAAAATGCCTGGTCTCAGTTGGGGCAGCTAAAATTCATCAAGCTGGTGGGAAAATATGCGGACTTCTCTGCAGAGTATTCAAAACCCAACAGACTCAAGGGATGGCATAGCTCATCTCGTTCTTATTTGTACACACAACCAAAACACACATGGAAAAAGGTTTACCCAAAGGAGGTGGCTGTGTCCAGTTAACAATTTCTTCTGTATTTAATTATGGTGCTACACCAGTCGTAGACACTTTTTAATGAATTTCTCTTAACGTACAATTATCTTGTCCCTGCATTACCTGCAGGAATGATATTTTAGGATACCCTGCATACATAGTACAGTCTGGAACATTTCAGAATATTGAGTAAACGGAGGTCAGTCTTTGCTGGAGCTGTTTACCGCATACCAGAGCACAGCAAAATCCCATCAGTCCAGAGAATTCAAGCTTGCGTTTCCTTCCACTTGGCAGCCGACCTTTTACATCCAACTCACGAATCATCTCTGCCAACATCACTTTGATACTACACTGCTTTCATCTGTTCATAATGACTTTATTTTTTTTCCCTTTGTACAAAAAAATATAAAATTTAAATCCATAGAAAGTGTATACTAGCAATGACAAGTTTAACATTACACCAATGCAAAGGCGTTAACTGGGACATTAGTTGTTTTAAGTCTCAGCAGTGCATGCACAATATAAAATAAAAATGGCTAAAGCTTTGAAATTCTTACGGCAATGCCTCATCAAACCACTCGGTGGATGGCAATAGTAGCAGGAGGGCATTTATGTACAAACCAAACAGAAATCAAAGTTGCTCCTTTAGTTCCAAACCTGGTTAAGACTTAAAATCACAATACAAAATACTCAATACCCCACCCCCACCCCAAATTTCAAAAGTTATTAGCACAGGGAACTAATCAGTAGTTTTAAGAATCTTGTTTTGAAAAGGCATTCTGTTTTTCCACAACACTCCCCAGCTACTTAAAACTCCTTTTCAAAACCTAGTTGGACCAACCACACTTAAATGCTAGTTCATAGCCAAATAATAATGTACAAAAATATTCAACGGAAGAAGGGCATTCATTTTAAAATTTGCTTCAGAAGGAAAATCTCCCACATTCAAGGTTTGTTGACTTGTCCCATGAACAAAACTGCACCTGTGGAACAAGAAAAGGTTATTGCAGATATTGGATTGATTCACAATTCACCTGTTTTGTAACAAAACAAAATCCTCCAGATGGTTCAGCATTCAATACAATCTAGCCAAGAATGCTTTCAATTAAGCAGCAAGCTTGAATGTATTAATGACTATTAGGGGGAACCCAATTTTAGTCTGTGATTCTGAAAGATAAAGGCTCAGTTTTAAGGTCATTTTGATTCTGATGCATAGTTTTAATAGGGAATATCATCAAATATTGAACTTCCTTCTAAAAGGAAACAGTACTTCTGCTTTTAAATGGTGATTCTCACAAGTCCATGAATTCAACTTCTCAGAGGCGAGAGTTGGTATATGAAAATGTAAATTTAATACTTTAATTAATTGGTACCGTTAAACGCCAGACAATATGTAAGAATTCTTTAAAAATCAGTAGACATTCATACCTGTGATACAGAGTTTCGAAAAAGATAAAACTTGTGTTTTAAAGAGCCAGGTTATCCTAGTAGAAACCACTATTCTGCTTTTATTGTGTAAAGATACTTTGCTGCCTGTTTCTAAAACCTGACAAGGACTCCCTTTCAATTTAGTAATTTACACTAAGGAACAGGATCTGGTAAAACTGAAGAACTTTAAATCCCCTAATTTCACTCAAGTACCAGAAAATCAATGGGAGTTAAAAAAATGTTCAACATTTTGGAGTACAGTGCAATTTTACTTCAGCAGACACTGTCAATGATTCCCAAGAACAGAGAGGAAGAAAGCAAGGCATGCACTCTGGACTTGAGCTCCCAGCTAGCCAGTTCACAAAAGCCACTTTATATACTTGTGTATGTGGGTTATCAGAGAGTGGCTCTGTTCATCAGTTTGCATCTGCTGCCCCCGGGGGGGGGGGGGACAGCGAGAAAAGCTCAAATGCACATAAAGATCCTTCTAGTGTGAATGTGTGCAGCCCTGGGGTCTGCGGCTGGTGTTGCTCAATGCCAGGTTGGCACTGAGTAAGACCTCCCAACCCCATGATCTGGACAAGGAGGCCGATCTGGTCTGTATCACAGAGACCTGGGTGGGTGGAGTGGGTGTGCTTTTGGCCTTGGGCAAGAGGTGGTTTTGCAAAGGCACTGACCACCATGCTGCAGGGGGCACCTTTCAACACTGCTGTAGAACAAAGTGCTAGGGACCAGGGGACCCACTGAATTTTAGCAATGCATTGGGCACCGCTGAAATTTGAGAGCCTGAGGTCTGCCACTGTCGGGACAGACTGGGGATTAGGCCCTTCTTCATGTGCCTCCTCTACAAAGAGGTTCAGAGGGTTGGCAACATTAGAACAGGCTTTTTCTGCAGTGGCTCCCTGCTTGTGGAATGCTCTACCCAGGGAGATTTGCCTGGTGCCTTCATTACATATCTTTAGGCCACAGGGGAAAACAATTCTCTAAAAATTCTATGGCCTTTTAAATGTGGGAGGGAGGTTATTGGTTTGTTTGCTTTATTATGTATTTTGTGTTCTCATTTTGTAGTTTTATGTTGTGAACCGCCCTGTGATCTTCAGATGAAGGGCGCTACACAAATCAATCAATCAATCAGTCAGTCAGTCAGTCAGTCAATTAGTATGTGTACTATTTGTTTTCCAAACTTCGGCCACCAAACTTAATATTTTCATATTGAGAACTAACAAAAAATTATTGAATTAATTTAAATGCATATTGTAAGATGCTTGTTAATAAGTGACTTTATACAATTCTGCTGATACATAGGTGATAAAGCATGTCAGTTTCTTTATCTGTCTTTTTATTGTTTTAACTCAGTTTATTATACACACCACCAAGGTAAGATTCTCATGGCATATAAATGTAAAAAAATAAAACAAACTAAGGCAGGCAGGCCTACTTAATAACAGCTGCATCTGGCCCTTCCTTCAACTATCACCTAGTGGCAGCCATTACAACAGGCTACCTAAATTATTTATACCCTAGCTGTTTCTTATAAGAACTATAACTTTTAAGACCTGGTCTCTGAGATTGCTTTTCTCTTTCTTCCTTGTAATTCCTTTTTCCTTGCGTGTCATGTTTATCTGCAGTGCAGAGACTGAATTGTGGCTGATTTTTGTTAAGATGCCCTGGGACTCTTTTCGGCTAAAGAGTAGGATAAAAAAAGTACTTAAAACAAATAAATCTGACTTTTTGAAACGTAGTGTCTGCAGCAGGAAGACTTCTCTGCTTGTGGGAAACTGGGGTTTTGCATCACGAGGGGAGCTTCCAGAAGATGAAACAGGCTCCCTGCTTTAAGCAGCTGCCCTCAAACTCATAGAGGGTGAGAGGGACCGGGCTTATCCCTACACCCACTTGTGTGGTACTCCCCTGCCCCCAAGGCCAGTGCTAGAAAATGCAAGATTTTATTTATTTAAAGCACCATCAAGACTTCCAGAGCAACCTACAAAAATCAGAAGCAGGACAGTATTCCCTGAGGTCTCTTATTGCCTGAATAGGGCCACTGAATTTTAACAAGGGAAACAAACAAACATTCCGAACCTCAATCCCAGAGTATTTCATTCCTAACTCCCTGCTTTAAAAAGCCCCTTCTTATGAAGTTATATACAGAGGGCTTGTCCTGAATTAATAAGTGAACGTTCGCTAGCTATTGCTAAGCGTAGCTGCTTCCAGAGAATACAAAGGGCCTGCAATACACCTCTCACGCAGGGAGGTGTATTGCAGGCCCTTTGTATTCTCTGGAAGCAGCTACACTTAGCAATACCTAGCAAACATTCAGTTATTACTGTATTTTTCGCTCTATAAGACGCACCAGACCATAAGACGCATCTAGTTTTTGGAGGAGGAAAACAAGAAAAAAAATATTCTGAATCTCAGAAGCCAGAACAAGAGGGATCGCTGCGCAGAGAAAGCAACGATCCCTCTTGCTGTTCTGGCTTCTGGGATAGCTGCGCAGTCTGCATTCGCTCCATAAGACGCACACACATTTTCCCTTACTTTTTAGGAGGGAAAAAGTGAGTCTTATAGAGCAAAAAATACGGTAATTCAGGACAAGCCCTGGATGTACGAAGGTGGATGTACGAAGTGTGCTGGCTTTCAGTTCTGATCCGTTATTCAAAAGATCTAACCCACCAGGTACAGCTTTAGTAAAAAAAAATATAAATCACTTATGCATCTGATGTCTGCTACCAGGAGCAACACTTCCTAGAAGATTCCACTGATATCAGCCTGCCGCTTCTGTATGGCATCTTTAAAATATTCAGTGCATGCCAGCAGATTTTGTTCTTAGCCTGCTTTGATGCTGGGTGATTGTGGAGGAGACAATGAGATGACTGAAATGTTGCATATATATAGAGAGAGAGAGTGTGTGTGTGTGTGTGTGTTAAGATGCCCTGGTCCCTCAAGTCCCCTTGTGAGTCATTTTTGCGCGGAGATGGGGGTGAAGGAGGTGAGAAGGTGTTTTTCCTAAGCAGCTAGCTCATACTGAGCCTAGAATATCAATTAGAAGAAAAACAGGGTTTCGAAGTGGAGCAAAGAGAGGAGATGTGTGTTTTGACAACCGGCCAGTGCTCCTCTTCGGAATCGCATAATGTGCCTTTGATGTCCTGAGCTGCCTGTGTCTGGGAACTCATGCCAGAAGTCCTCTTCCTCCACAGCGTTGGCACTTTTTACCTCCAGCATGCACCATTTATGGAGATGAGCTAATAAATATGCCAGTGGAACAGAGGGGCCTGTTAGTCCCTGGCAACAACCCCTCGAGTGTTGAAATCCTGCGCAGCTGCAGGCTGCTGCATTGCCTCCAAGAGAAGAAATCTCTTATGCACAGTATAAGGAGGGAGGAGGTTGAGGACCAAATTTTGTAAGGCAAGAAAGCATGTAAGAGGTGTCTGTTTTTAGCTGCGGGCTTCTGTCTCCTGAGGAAGGCTGTTTGCATTTAATTCAGTGAAAGTCAATATTACTTACCTGTAGGATTGTGTCGTATGAAGAATACAAATGGCCTGTCTACCACAAACCAAGGTGGGGATGACCTGGCTATTAAAATTGCAGCTTGGACAAACAGAAACAGGGGAAAAGTAGTCACTCGATGGTTCTAAACTTATTTTTACATTTTATTTAGCAAGATTTATAAACTGTTTAATCAACAAACAAAAAAACCCTCTATGTGGCTTATATAAATAATATCCATTAAAGTAAACATTAAAAGCAAGTTAACATCATACCCTCCAAAAAATATATAAATAAAAACAGCAACTGCAAAACAACCTACCCAATCAAATAACATTTTAAAATTACGTATCTGGGCAGCTGTGCCTAAACAGAAGCAAGGTTTAAAAACAAGTTCTGAAAAGTTCCTGCCTAGTATTATTGTATTTTGAATACTTTTGTAAGCCACTTTGTATTTTTCATTTTTGCATCACCTTTAGACCTTTTTGTAGGAACCAGTGAACATTTTTCTAAATAGATAGCAATATACCAGTACTTCCTAAATTGAAGAATTTAATCTATTTACCTTTTAAGCAGTCCAGGGTGGGGGCAACAGAAAGGCATCAGTCTGAGACTTAAAATGCCATATTCCTAAACTATAATTAGATTTGGGCAAATTACTCTATAATTTGGAAATGCTGAAGTCCAGTAGCTACTGAGAGTCACATCGCTCTGGTGAGTGTATGAATGCCCCTGCTTTAAGCTATATTTATTTAGAAAAATTCTACACTACTTTCTGGAAAAAAGAAAAGAAAAATCTCCAAGTGAAGAATTTTGCCTTGCAGAGTGACCTAACTGGAGAAGGGGTTCGCTCAGGGGCAGAGCATCTGCTTTGCATGCAGAAGGTCTCAGGTTTAATCTCCCACTTCTCCAGGGCTGGGAAAGACATTCTGAATGCTGGAGAGCTGCTGCCAGCCAGTACAGTGGTACCTCGGGTTACATACGCTTCAGGTTACATACGCTTCAGGTTACAGACTCCGCTAACCCAGAAATAGTATCTCAGGTTAAGAACTTTGCTTCAGGATGAGAACAGAAATCGTGCTCCGGCGGCGCAGCAGAAGCAGGAGGCCCCATTAGCTAAAGTGGTGCTTTAGGTTAAGAACAGTTTCAGGTTAAGAACAGGCCTCCGGAACAAATTAGGTACTTATCCCGAGGTACCACTGTATAGACAAAACTTACCTAGATGGACCATTGGTCTGCCTTCCTAAGTTCCTATTTGGCTTGGGGGGGGGATGCACAAGTGCTTTCTGAAAGTCTGTTAAATGATTATTCTGGCTTGGCAATGCCATTTCAGCTATACTTTAAAATTAATGAAATTATGATTTTTTTCTATTTTTAAAAAACCTAAAATTAATGATTATTATGGGGAAGCAGTGAATTGCTTACTTGTTGCTGCAGATGCTTTGGTTCCATCTTCGCTCACTTCAATCTTTGCTTTTTGCAAGATCTGAGATACATGAATGTTTCCTGTTCCTGTTAAGGGTCAAACACAGAACATATGTGCCGTAAATATTATGTATACACATCCTCATGCTACATTCCAAGGAGCAGCCAACCCTTTTTGTAATACATAAACAGAAGGAGAAGTCAATCTGCTTCCGTATGCTGTTATTAAGATATGCCATTCCCCCCCCCCACCTGCTAAAAAATTGTACCAGGTAATCACTTGGCATGAAAAAAATGACACTGACAGATCACAATGCAGTGTTTTGATAATTTAATTTCAGTGAGAAGTGGGATAAAATTCAAACCAACCAAATTATTTCCACAAATCCCTAGTCCTAAAACTCATGGACAAAAGAATGAGAGGGTAACTCACTTGTTATTTTTGCAAAATTTGCCTTTGACTGATCAAACATATCTCGAATGCCAAGCTCCTGTAAAGGTTCCTTTAAGTCTGTTTCTGCCTCTGCAGTAAACCTGGTGGGAGCAACAGAAAAGCATCAGCCTGAGACTGAAATTAAGTCCAATTGCGAAAAGATTTTTCAATAGGGGTGACATAAATATGTGTGAGATAAAGTGGGGGGAACAGAACCTACTTGGGTAAAATAACCTGCACTCTCTTCTGCACCATAGTCGTCATCCAGCTCTGTATCGTTTTCGTGCTAATGTGAGGAATAATAGCAGACAAAGGAGTTGTGCTTTCCGTGGGCAGAGCAATCAGCATACTGATACTTTCACCATGGTATGGCAATTCAATGATATTGTACCACAAGTCATTAGGAGTACTTGTTGTGCCTGAAAGAAACAGAGCAAGTAAAAGAAATGGGATTGGGGGGGGGGGGGAGGATCCAAGACAAGAAAACCTTCAGTCTGTATTGCAACACTGTCTCAGGAATAAGTAGCTGTTGAAACAAATTGGATCAGCTTGTCCTCAGCCTGTTCCCTGAAGCAGGAGGAGAGTTAGGGATCTACAAGGAAGTTGCTGGCAGAGAAAGAAAGGCAGAAAAAAGGACTTTTTTTTTGCCCCAGAACTTCCTTGTGAATATCCCAACTTGCCCCTTTCATTTCACCTGCTGCTGCTGCCCTGCCCTGCAGGTCACTTCTTCCCCTTCCAAATCACCCTGCAGGTGATGAAGCCAGCACACCCACAAACATTTCAGGCCAGAGGGGGAGCGTCACTTGTTCCTTCTCCCTTTTGGCCCCATTGGCCATCAGAACGTCTCTTCCCATGCTCATGGGAGAAACACAAAAGCCATCTCCTTGTATGTCCCACAGAGGACCTTACGGTCTTCAAGTAAAAACATCTTGGAGATCCCGGGCCACAGGGAGGTTAGGCTGGCCTCAACCAGAGCCAGGGCTTTTTCAGCCGTGGCCCCAAACTGGTGGAACGCTCTGTCCCAAGAGACTATGGCTCTGCAGGACTTGACATCTTTCCGCAGGGCCTGCAAGACAGAGCTGTTCCACCAGGCCTTTGGCCAAGGCACAGTTTGACCCCCTCTCTCCTTCTGTAATCCTCACAGAACTCTAGCCCAATGGTTGCCATTAATTTGATTCTGAACTGATTTTAGAATGTATTTCAACTGACTGTGATTTTATGTAAACTGTGCTATTTTTACTGTTGTTAGCCGCTCTGAGCCCAGCTTTGGCTGGGGACGGTGGGCTATAATAAAATTATTATTAATTATTATTATTAATTATTATTATTATTATTATTATTATTATTATTATTATTATGTTCATCCCAATGCCAAGGAGTTTGTTCATACCTTTCAGGCTAGGCTAAAGGAAAGCAAGCTGCAACAGGCAGCTGCCCAGACTTCCAGACTCTGCCTGTGCAATGTTTTCTGCTGCTACAGATTTTCAGACAGCATACCTGCACAGGCTGGTTCATGGAAATTTCAGGGGTTCTGTGGGGTGACAGGGAGTCATTATGACATCCCCCAATGTTTTCAGCATATGATCCTGATACAGGCCTGAATAAACAAAACTTATGATTAAGTTTGATTCTAATGCACACTGGTGAATACTATTCCATGTCTAGACAAGGCATATAATTCCGATCCTGGCCTGACTGCACTGGCTGCCAATTAGTTTCTGGTTCTAATTCAAAGTGCTGGTGTTGACCTATAAAGCCTTACGTGGCTTGGTACCTCAGTACCTGAAGGATCGCCTCTCCCCATATGAACTGACCCAGCCCCTCCACTTGTCTTCTGAGGCCCTTCCCTATGTCTCCCCTGCCGGAGAGTTTTGGAGGGTGACAACACAAGAACAGGCCATTTCTGTGGTGGCTCCCCATTTGTGGAATGCTCTCCCCAGAGAGGCTCGCCTGGCACCATCATTACATGTCTTTAAGCACTGGATGAAAATATTCCTCTTTACTCAGGCCTTCAGCCATTAAATAATCTATGACCTGTTAAATGTGTGTGGGGAGGGGGCTGTTCTTATGATTATTATTATTCTGACTATTATTATGCTCCGTAAATTATGTTCTTAATGTTTATATAAACACCCTCACACACAGTAAAAAAGGTAAAGGGACCCCTGACCATTAGGTCCAGTCGTGACCGACTCTGGGGTTGCAGCGCTCATCTCGCTTTATTGGCCGAGGGAGCCGGCATACAGCTTCCGGGTCATGTGGCCAGCATGACTAAGAGGCCAATGAAATGCACAGGTAAGAATCACTACAGTGGTACCTTGGGTTACAGACACTTCAGGTTACAAACGCTTCAGTTTACAGACTCTGCTAACCCAGAAATAGTACCGCGGGTTAAGAAATTGCTTCAGGATGAGAACAGAAATCGCACAGCGGTGGCGCAGCAGCAGCGGAAGGCCCCATCAGCTAAAGTGGTACCTCAGGTTAAGAACAGACCTCCAGAACAAATTAAGTTCTTAACCCGAGGTACCACTGTATTTCTCTTTCCCGGCTCCACCAGCATTGCCCTAATCCCACCTCCTTCTTCGGGTTGGTGAAGCCTCCTTTAAAGAATGTTACAGAAATTGTGGTGCCACAACTAAACTTTTTAAAATGCATAACCCACCCTTTTCACCACTGCATATCCCAGGGTGGTGTATCTGAATATCATTGCATATGAAGTCATGCTACTGATAGCAATTGTTTCTCAATGCTTCTGCAATAGATTAAAGCTGAAAGGAAATAGACACACAGAAACCAAAAAAGGGGCTTTCCCTATCTTCTCATGCCATGTTCGAAACTGGGGGAAAGACATCCCCAAACCGGCTAAGTGTCATACCAACTGTCTCTACAAAACTTCTAAACATGAGCCATGAATCTGGTATTATGAGGACATCAAGAAAACAGTCAGGAAATACAGCAAACGCATTGCTTGCCCCAACTACTCAAGCATTTTGCAGCTCTAAGTATGTCTGTCTTTGAGCCTTTTTGAGAGGAGAGTGTTCCCCCTTTTTGTTTGCTTTGTACTTCTGCAAACCTTAGAACTTTCCTGAAGATGCTGATAGGTTCTGTTTCAGCAGCCCTGTTTTCACTGTAAAGCTGCCACAACAACTTAAAGCATTTTTGTTTAGGCAAGCCCGCCCAGACCCACAGATATGGGTGTGTTTTAACCATTTTACAGTTAATTTTAATTATCTTTAAATACTGTGATCTGTTTTATTGATAATTTTAATATTGCTGCAAGCAGCTTAGAGGTTTTACAACCATCAAGTGATCTATAAATGTTGTTATCATTTCTACTTAATAAAAGTAACAGCACCTGAATTCACTATTAGTATATATGACACGAGCTATCTCAGTGACAGCATAACAATAATGAACATGGCATTCTTTGGAAGAAGGAAATTTGCTACCTAAAGGTACCAAAATCTAGCAGTGTCTTCAGCAGATTCTTTATATACAAGCTGAATTTCCCTGCCAAGTGAGGCTAGGGCAGACCAAACACAGAACAGATGGCCTTCCTTTTGCCACCTCGCACCCCAAAAAATTACACTGGGCAAGAAAACAGGCCTAAAAATAGAACTACTCTCTTTGGATAAGAATTAATGTTAATACTGTAAGAAGGTTGCAACTGGTCAAACAATAATATGTAAGTATTAAGTTTTTAAAACTTAATACTTACATATTATTAGGATTCAAACAGAACATCTACTCTTGACTCTCTTGCAGGACATCCATATGAGAAATCAGGTGGCTTAGCTAAACAACAAAAATACAATGTTGGAAAAACTACAGCAAGTTATTATTGCGTGCACAATGTTTTCCAGTTGGTATTACAGAGTTTCAGTAAAAAGCTTCTATTCTCAAATGCTGCATATGCTATAAGGAGAATGGGGTATCTTCAACAAAAATATGAAAAGCTTTTTAATGTTTAAGGACTCCTGTTATCTCTTTTTAAGTTACTCTCATTGTTCTTTACATTCAACATTTAAATAAGCATCCTGCTAGTAATAAAGTAAGGTTCAACTGGCAACTTCAAAAGATTACAATAATAGTTTTATTAGTAATAAGGTGCCTCTTTCAGAAATCTTGAAATATCAAACATCCCATTATAGATTTGCAGTATTGCAAATAGCAATAGTCTGTTGTGAAATACAGAATCTTTGTAAGCTAGCATTTGTATTAGAGTTGCCAAGTTTAATTAATCAAATGAACAAGCTAATGAAGACTTTCCAAAGTGGGCTGGAATCCTAATTCACTTACTAGGGAGTCAGCCCACTGAACCCAGTAGGAGTTTCTTCCAAGCAAACATGCACAATATTGCACTATAAGTGCTTGGCCCCCAATTAACTGGTGCAATTTTTAAAAGCTGTTCTCACTTCCCACTCCCCATTTTTATTCAGAGTCTCAATTTGATGCATGTGTTGAGGTATGAACGTTTAATTATGAATTATGGAGCTAAAACCTGTTAATCCAGCTTGGGTTTCTTTAAGGGGATGAGAGTACTAATGCTTATTAGGAAGACCATGTGCTATCTATCAACACAAAATGTTTCAACAGAAGATCGGAGCTGTTAGTGCTGGATTGCTGCCAAGAATGAAAGGACACCTGACCACATCTCATTGGAAGAGGGAATTCAGAAAGGGATAAAGTAGCACAGGATTGGGAACTCTGTGGCCTCCCAGTTGTTGTTGACTTACAACTCCCATCTTCCCAGACTATTGACCATGCTAGTTGGGGCTAACGGGAGCGGGAATCCACCATCATCTGCAAGGCCACTGGTTCCGCATTCTTCAAAAACACTTCCTTTTGTTCAAACACTCCCTATGTTACATTGGAACTGAGTTTAGAAATGTTACAAGATTTAAAGTGCTCGTGCTGAATCACTTCTTTCTCAGCAGGCAGAGACTTACATTAGCTGCCTCCCCCAAGGCAACTGAAATCATCATGAAGTATTTTTCAAAGGAATCAGAGAGAATGTGAGCTAATCAAAGTGTTACCGGCCAAGAAATGGCAACTACATAGCCAAGCTTAGGATAAAAAGGGGGCCGTAGATAGCATCAATACTAGTGGGTGCACACACCAAAGAAACAATGGCATTTCCACACACTCCAGTTCCCATCAACCCCAGGAAGAACAGCCCAAAGCCAGGGATGATGGAACTTGTAGTTCTACAACATCTGGAGGGCCACAGGTTCCCTATCTGTCGTGCAGAGCCATACCAGCAAAAGCATTGCTGTTCTCATGCTTGGTGCCTTCCAGAAACAACATCACCACAAAATTTAGCATGTACTCTGGGGATGGTTTTATACATGTTGAGTTTACCTTGCCTTCCTCAGAAACTGGGGGAAAGCAGGCAAGATGAGCACCTGCTGATTTAAGGATGGGGGGGGGGAAACAGTCTAGCAAAGAAAAAGAAAATATTGAACATACCACATCGGAACACTGACAACTGAGCCAGCATAGGCACTTGGTAAGTCTTTCCATCAGCTCCGTTAAATGTTCGCTTTTTTGTGTTTTCTGGCTGGAAACGTGATTTCCATAGTCCCTTAAAGTACACTGCATTTACCAGCACCAATCTGGTCAGCTCACTATCAAGAGAATCCGGAGATACGATGCCGTCTATCATACCTGGAAAGCACAAAAGAAAACCCTATACTTTACGAGCAGAAAAAGAAGCTTATTAATCATAAAAGCTGAAAGGGAGAAGGGGGGGGACCCAATTCAATACCAAGTTACATTAAATAAAAGCTACAAGAAGATTCAGACCAAGAGAATGCACAGAAGACCCATGCTGGAGTTCAGCTGTGATTTAGTAAAGCACAAGAAAGATTGATAGAGGGTCTAGAGCTCCCAACCCCTGGAACTAGCCCTGGGTTGCTGCCAGACTTTCTTCAAATCTTCTCAATACACTTGGAGGTTTGCCTGGATCAAACCCATTGAAATCCATCTTGTACTAATGTAGCCTTCCCTAACCTGGTGCCCTCTCATGTGGCTGGTGGGAGTTACGATCCAAAACATCTGGAGGGCACCAAGTTGGGGAAGGGTGTTCTAAAGGGTATTTCAAAGACCTTGCTGTCCTTCTGTACACATGTGTGCCAGTCTCATGATCAGCATGCATCTTGAGGCATCTTGAAGCTCCCAGGCTCCAAACCCCCCAAAATTCAAGATTTCTGGCATTTATGCAGAAATCAGTCCATGGGATTTTTTATTAGTGTTTTGGGTTTTTAAAAAAAGCAATATAAATCAGTAAGCAATTTACTAAACACTATGAGTTTACAAACAAGAAATCAATGGGCTTCAATAACGTTCAGCTTTCTCCCTGGCCCAAATACTACCCACTTTATTTGCCATTGGTGCTTTTTCTTTGAGATCTCATCGTAAAAAGAACAAAGAACAATCAAAGGAGTGGATACAAAGAAAAGCACAAGGAAGGAAAGGAACTTTCCATCAATTCAGAGATTGTGTTCTTGGCAAAACAGTGAGATAACCGAGTATCAAGGAAATCGCCACTACAGAAGATAATGTAGTCAAGAGGATGTTACAAGTTTAGTGAAAAAGATTTGATATTAATCGCCATTTTGTAGTTTGATTTACACTTTATATGTTTAAAAGAACAGCCTGTACTCGCAGGCAGGGTGTACAAAATCAATCCAAATGCTTCAGATGTTTAAAGCTCAGTTTTTCAAAGAATTTGGAAAGAAATGTTAAGCTGAAGAGGAAGAGACCAGTTGCAGCAGGGACTAGAGGCTCCAGAAAGGGATACTGCCAAATCCAAGACACAGGTGATGGTTTTAGCATTGGGTTGGCTTGTTGGAGGGGAGGTTGTAAGCCTCTGCCTGCCTCTCCTAGGGAAAGGGGCATCCCATTAAAAGAATACTGGAACCGGAAATGCTTTTTCCAAGCACCAAGTGGGATCTAGGGCCACAGCACTCCTCAAGGTGGCAACCCTATGGGGGCAAACCTATTTGATTTAAGTCATAGGTCCTCCCTGCCTCTGGATAGACCCCTACCATAATACTTCCAGGTGGCAGGATGGATATTCTATGGTTACACCCAGTGTCTATGCCAAACCTCTTAACATGTGTAATCAAGAAAGTTGTGGCCTTATTTGACCCCAAACACTGTGTTCTAGCTGCTTTGTTCTCTAAGTCAGGGCTGCTGGGGACCAGGGACGCAAAGGTATATTGCCCAATCTAAGACACTTTTTATTACTATTCTACTCCATCAATGTGCTTTACATTATAACCAAATCAAAACAGAGCAGTTCCTTCTCCAAGTAGCTTATGGTCTACATGTTAGTAGTAGTGAATAAGAGTGGGAAGAGAGATAAATCTAATAACCAGAGCAGAAACAAGACAGATGGGATAACAAGGTGGGGGGGGGGGAGAGACAAGTTAGCCGTTTGGTATCACATACCCTTGGTCTCATTTCTGACCCACTGGTTGATAGTATCAGATGCAGTGTTCTGGTCCTCAAAGTTCACACTCTTAACATTGCACTGAAAGACTTCATTGTTTCTTGAAACAAAAGGCACTTCCAGTTTCAAGCCACTTTTTGCAAAGACAGCATTTGCAATTGAGACAAGATCTTTATTCTTCTTTGAGACTATGGCTTTGTTTATCTTCTTCAGTACTTTGCCAACTCCTGATTGAAAAACAAGCAAGAATCTTTAGTAAAAAAATAATAAATGCTTAAAATACCCTCTTCAAAATAAGCAGTGGTAAGCACACAAACAGATGTTTAGAAGCCACCAAAACCTGTGATCAGGGGCATGTTCACTCAGAGGCAAGTTCCAATTATTCCAGTGGAATCTACTTCCAAATGTGTTTGGATTCCAGAGCCAAGCAAATCTTAGGCATTATGGAACATGCCCAACACACAGCCCCATTTTCGAAATTCAAGCAATGTACCAAGACAACAGATCGATCAAATGCACTTAACAGATGAACTGCAAGAGAGATAAAGCAGCCTTGAGAAAGGTACCCACTGTTTGTGGGCATGAATATAATCACAGTGCTACACTTGGGTTGCAATATTGCCGTTTTACCCATTGTGCACCCTCAGAGCAAATTCTGGGCACTGCTACCAATTTATTTAAGCCGTTCACTGTGGGCAAATGATAGAAGTAGGCTGTGGCTTGCTGCTAGCTCTCCTGTTTGCTAAACCATGTTTACTAAAGACAGACTCTAGGGCCTATAGTTCCATGAAAGGAATTGCTTTGCCTACCATGAAGGTGTCATGCTGTTTGGTGTTCCAATGCAAAGTGGCTGGGGAAAAGTACTTAAACTTTTGTGTAGGGAGTTCTGTGACCAGAATGGTCTGAATATAATCAGGAAAAAAATATCAGCGGACCAAGATGCTTGCAGATTATTTAAATAGATCTATTAGGTATAAAATTCTTGGTATTCAAGATTACTCCACAAAAGAGTTCTTATCTCCAGGGTTTGGAAAAGGACTCAGCAATATGTGATTTCCATTTCCCGAAAGAAAAAATAAGTCATGGTGCAATAGTGTACTTGCTAGTACATTATAGCATTCTTGTTTCAGTAGGCATAGGGAAATGTTCCATTATAATTAGTATTTTTGGGGAGGAAGGTATTGATAGAGTGAGTTATGTTTACGATGGTACTACCATTCTGAAATGTGCTTGTAAATCATACTGGCACTTGCAAAACACGCAGGGAGGTAACAAGGTCTAGTGAGCTCCTGTCAAGGGAGGGTTACTGGCTAGGAATGCAACCCTGATGCCTGCCAGTGTCAGGAATGCAGCCTGACAAAAGCAAGATCCTGAGCAGAAAAGCAGAACTTTGGAAAGGCTGTACAGTTTGATACCACAATAGTACTGTGGATTTAATTTATCACTAAATGCAGGGATATTTTAGTCAACATCTGGAGGCAGGCATGAAAAGCTGTCAGTCCCACATAAAGGGGCATTTTATTCTTCCCCTACAAGCCTGTCAATGATACTCAACTCTGTTTTCTTTGGAACCACGAGGACAGTCCTTGTTGAACTTACTGTGTTTAGCATCAATGCTTCACACTGTGCCCAAAGATGCCTTCGGGTATTAGAGATACTGCTTCACTGTCACTTATTTAATACACACTAGACCAAGATAACTGGCTAGTGTTCTCAAACACAGTATCTACTGTTTTTGCTATCAAACCCACTTTGTATCAGTGACTAAAATAATTCTCACCTATACCGGAATTTCCCATAAGAACACAAAGACCCCAAAGCCCACAACAACAGATCAAAACAACTGACCATTTACGCTGTATCTCATCACGGTTGTTAGCTGTTTCTTTGTCTTGCCATCGGCTCCAAGTTGAAGCATTCCAAGTACGGATGCAATTCCATGCGGGGAAACCACAACATTCTCCTTCGGCCTGCTTTTGACCAGCTGATTGAAAACTTGGATCCCAATGTCTGAGCCCAGTTCCTCAAGAGACAGAGGACTTGGTGGGAAGCAAAGGCACGCAGAAATCAAGGCAGCAAAGAGGAGAGGAAGACGCCCGTTCATGATTCCTAACCCAAAACAATCTAAAAGGAGAGGGGGAAGCAGACAAAATTAAGAAGAAGAAGCATGTCCGTTCTCTATAGCACTTATTTGCAGGTACTGTCCCCATTGGTTGAAAGTCATATGCCTTTATGTATCTCCACAAATTCAGACCTTAAATCCAGCACTCTTAGAGCTAGCCTTTCACAAGAAAAAAAAACCTTGACTACCGTTATATGATAAAGAGTCTAGAAGGAATAAAAAACAGGATTGATGACAAGCTTAAGTCATCAGTTCAGGATCTGAAGTCAGAAAAGCTATATAGGGTTGCATTTTAAAGCACATGAAGTGTTTTTATATCAGGAGTAACCACTACAGTGCCTTCCAATGTTAGACTTCAACTCCCAGTGGCCCTGATCATTGGTCATGCTGACTGAGACTACCCACGCTGGCTACAACTGTCTTATTGGTTATATGTGTGATTTTGCACTATGTACAGGAAATACTCCAGTCACTCTATAGAGATTGAAAATCATGCTCAGACTGCTAACCTAGACATGTATATTAAATCAAATCCTAACTATGGTTTACAAACTTGTTGTAAAGGTAAAGGACCCCTGGCAGTTAAGTCCAGTTGCAGACGACTCTGGGGTTGTGGCACTCATCTCGCTATACTGGCCGAGGCCCAACGTTTGTCCGCAGACAGTTTTTCTGGGTCATGTGGCCAGCATGACTAAGCCGCTTCTGGTGAAACCGGAGCAGTGCACAGAAACGCCATTTACCTTCCCGCCGGAGCGGTACCTATTTATCTACTTGCACTTTGACATGCTTTCGAACTGTTAGGTTGGCAGGAGCTGGGACTGAGCAACAGGAGCTCAACCCATCTTGGGGATTCGAACCCCCGACCTTCTGATCAGCAAGTCCTAGGCTCAGTGGCCCAAATACCAGAATCTTACTTATTTGGCTCTATAAAGAGTTGGTAAGCTACTGGGCTTTATACCCTGCTGATTTGATTGCATTAGAAACTTAAGTATTACCATTACCAAAAATTAAAAAAATATTCCTTCTATGTTCTGGGCTCGTGGCAGACATGATTGTATTCTTGAATCCACTATGCTCCTCTCCTAAGCTTTTCTTAGGAATTGGTTCTATGTCCTATAAGCAAGCGATAGAGATGTGCCCTGATCAGCTATAAAAGTCCATTATCTTCCACTCAATGTTTTCTTCTTGCTACTACTTGAGCATAGAGAAGGTTTCTGTTCTCTTCTTAAAATCTCCCTAATCCCACCCCCTTCCATCTTGAAATGCTTGAAAAAAATGTGAGTTCCAATGAGTTAACTGCCTTGGATGCAAGAGAAAATGACCCCATGATCAGTGCAGTCTACACATCCAGACTCCTACCTCTCCATATATGAAATGAAGCACAGATAGCCTTCAAAATTTGCACTCATCCAAATTTTGCAATGCAATTCCCCAACCAGTGTTTACAAAAATGCATAATCTATGGCAAAGTGTGCATCAAAAAGAAAATATTAATGAAAAAAACATAGAAAAATCAATTGTACTAAGGAAAACTGCTTGCAAAAATATGTATACCAATCAAGCCTGCATTTCAAAATGTGTTTATTCGGAGAAATTTGCACAAAACTGATAAATAATTTCCATGATGTTTTTTTATATGTAAAAAAGCAAATTGTTGCACATTGTAGAGAAGTGGACTGAAGATTGGAAAACTAGACACTGAGAGAACCAGAAGTGATATAACCTTCCATCCCTACTCTGTAAACTATAAAAAGCTGCCTTCTTCGTTGAATATGCCAGAATATCCTAGACATGAAGTTGAGGGGCTCTTCTAGGATAATATGCAGCAACAGAAGAAGAAAGAACTGGGAGTGAGTAAGAATGAATGAATGGAAAACCCAAAACAAACCCCAATTATTGGTAACAGGTTTAACACTGCTCAGATTTTCCGAAAGTAGTGGCTGAACTTGTGGCTTAACTGGCACAGTATCATCAAAACAGACTATTTGCTGACAAGCTAGCAAGTCCCAGGTGCCCTTCAGTTGCGTGGGAGCTGCTTTTCTGTATTGCAATATCATGCTGACTACATGGGAAAATACCACGCAATCTGTCCCTACCACATGGTTGCGTCATTCACACAAAACATGTGAGATCACATCACAGAAAAACAAATGAGTGTATGCATGTGTGTGTGTGTGTGTGTGTGTGTGTTGTAAGAGAACCTCAAAATTCAAGTAAGAATTCTCTCTCTGAACCATCTGAAAATGCTTCTACGCCTCTGAAGTTGCTGCTGCCACAAAATGCAAGAAATCATGCCTGGGACCAGATTCTTCTTTCCTATTTTAATTTTAGGCACACTGCATTCTTCTGCAGCAGGAGTGGGGAACCTGTGGCTCTCGAGATGCTGTTTGTCTCTTAGGTACCACCAGTCCCTGCTAGCATGACCTGATGGGAGTTTGAGTCAAACAGCATCTGGAAGGCCATAGGGAGATCTCTGGTGAACTACAACTTTAATATTTCAAATTTTGGTGTTTTTTGTTTTTACTGGAGTCAATTTTTGCAACCTTTCACTGAACACTTAAAACTGCACAGCTTCCATCTACTTCAGGACACTTTAACATTGTTCATTCACGTGCCTATCCCCCTGTCCCCACCCCCAAAATCATGAGTTTCAGCTTGTTCTCTATTCATATAAAGGTAAAAAGGTAAAGGTACCCCTGCCCGTACGGGCCAATCTTGACAGACTCTAGGGTTGTGCGCCCATCTCACTCAAGAGCCCGAGGGCCAGCGCTGTCCGGAGACATTTCTGGGTCACGTGGCCAGTGTGACAAAGCTGCATCTGGCGAGCCAGCGCAGCACACAGAAACACCGTTTACCTTCCCGCCAGTAAGCGGTCCCTATTTATCTACTTGCACCCGGGGGTGCTTTCGAACTGCTAGGTTGGCAGGCACTGGGACCGAGCAACAGGAGCACACCCCGCCGCGGGGATTCGAACCGCCAACCTTTCGGTCGGCAAGCCCTAGGCGCTGAGGCTTTTACCCACAGCGCCACCCGCGTCCCAACTCTATTCATATGATATGGGTTAAAGGAATGGTACAGAGCCAAAAGGATTTCCACCCTCCAAAATCAGGCGTACAAGTTTGCCTCTAGAATATGTAACTTGTTATACTATAAATGTCTTCTTCTTTGGCGATCACTTGTAGCCGAGTAAGACTGTCTTCCATAAACACAGTTTTAACAATGAGTCCGTAAGTGACTGTGGAGGCCAATTCTGGATCCACACGTACTTCCGCAGTGGGGACATTGGTTTCCGGGCAGGAGTTGATCACGGTGTGGATTTGCCAAGCGTGCCTTCCTCTTAGAACGTTTCTCCCTTGCGTCCTGAGTTCGAGTGTCTTCAAAGCCCATTACACCTTTGGTAAAGGCTGTTCTCCAATTGAAGCACTCGCAGGCAAGTGTTTCCCAATTGTTGGTGTTTATACTACATTTTTAAATTTTGCCTTAAGACAGTCTTTAAATCTCTTTTGTTGACCACCAGCAGTACTTTGTAGAAAGATTAGGGTTGGGTGGGTGAGAGACAGTTTTACTTATCACTAGCAAATAAACATTTATTCCACTTTATGAGATGTGAGTTAAGCAAGTAACTGTGAAATGGGCTGACATGCAGACATAGCTGTCAACTGTACTCTGTTCTGTTTGAATAATGCCTCAATTTACTGCTAAACTACTGTTTACTGCACAGAGAAAACCTCCAGCTTCCTAATTATAGCTTAGGAAAGTTTTACAAGTACCCTTCTCACTTTTTAAATGTTCTATTAAGATGAGATTTGAAACTGCCATCCAGATGGAAAAGCCATTGGGAAAGGTGGAGTAGTGTTCTCTTCTCAAGAGCCAAATAAATTGTAGCAATCAATGAAAATATTCACCTACACATCTGGTCACTAGAAGCAGAACAAAGAGCAAAAAAGGCAACATTTATCTTATCATGAAAGGAGTACCAAACACAGTCAATATGACTGTAGTGTGCCCATTATAAAGAAAGCTAGTCCTGGAACAGACTTTATTGGCTAGATTAGATTCATGTGAAATTATCGAGGGCACATATTTCCAGAAATAAAGAGAAATGAACCATTCATAAGCTTTCAGCAGAGGGCTTAAGTAAGAGGCCACTACATTGGCGTGGATCCCATGTTGCTCCTCCATTCTTGGAGGGGGGTGGTTTCTTCCAATTTCTCTTCCCTCTTCAGCTAGCTATATCCCATACTGTTTCTAAAGGTCCCCCAAGATCCAGGATTAAGTCTGGCTATTGTCCATGGAGGCTGGAGTTCTGCAACATCTGGAGAGTCAAATATTCCACACACCTGATCCAAATGCTGTGGACTACAACCTGACAACTGGCCATGCTAGCTGAAGCTGATGGAAGTTGTAATAAAAAACAAACAAACTGGCTATCCCTACTCTAAAGAGCTGCTGTCATTCCAAGGTATTTCACAGCCCTGCTACCAGAGGTACTTTTAAATGGAATTGCATATTACCTACAGCACATTCCACATGCACTACCATATGCTTTATCACCAAACAACAGCTCGTCTATTGAAATAATCTGGTGTCATCTACAAAGCCTGAGTACTTCACTGATCCACAGTCAAGATGGCAAACAAATTAAATTGCAACATTCCCAATACAGACCATTTAAGGAACTCCCATGATAACCTTCCTCTCTTTTTTTATTAAAGAGTTAAAGCAGGCATCCCCAAACTCGGCCCTCTAGATGTTTTGGAACTACAACTTCCATCATCCCTAGCTAACAGGACCAGTGGTCAGAGATGATGGGAATTGTAGTCCCAAAACATCTGGAGGGCCAAGTTTGGGGATGCCTGAGTTAAAGCTACCTGTTTACCCTCAAGTTTCCTCAAAATAGGTACAAACTGAAAAGAGGAAATGTGGCCTTTCCTCTAACTCCATGAAACAGGGTTAGCACCATGTTTGCACTCTCTCTCTCTCTCCTACCAACACTGGAAGA